TCCGATCAAGAAAGGCTTTGATCTCACCATTGTTTTCATCAAATTGGTCCTGATGTGTGATAAAGCCGATTGATTTCATGCGTGCTTCATGGATGGTCTCCTTTAGAGCTTGCCAATCTTCCTCAACACAAGTGTTTTCATTTTCAGTCCTAAGATTGGTGAGTTTCTTGCTGAGATATGTTTGGAGGGCTTTGCAGTGTCAAGGGGTCTTAAAGACATTTGATGATGTACTACCTTCAGACTGATTTATGTTGCTTTCAATATTTCAGTGCAACCCTAATGGACATGATTGATTTCACTTAGTGATGATCGCTCCAGCAGTCATCAGCTCCTCCCATAACACATGTGAACACTACTCCTTCTTGCTAAGGAAATCCTTCCCAAGTCTCAACATCATGGACATAATTTTTGCAGCCTGGCAGATCCAGGAAAAATGCCAAGAAAGACACCAGGAACTGGCCTTTGTAGATTTAACCAAAAGCTTCAACTCTGTTAACCTTGAGGCTCTATGGAAGATTCGTATCAAATTTGGTTACCAAGGAAATTTACCACCATCCTGAGACTCCTTCATGACAGGATGGAAGCAGTCATTCTATGTAGTGGCTCCACTTCGGAGCCCTTTGCCATTCAAACTGACGTCAGGCAGAGCTGCGTGATAGCAACGAGTCTGTTTTCTGTCTTTCTTGTGGTCATCAAGGTGCTTATCCATGACTGTCTGTCACATGGCATCAGCATCAGGTACAGAATGGACAGGAACCTTTTTTCAATCTCTTCCGCTTCCATGCCAAAACCAAAGTTACTTCAACCTCAATTACAGATGATTGTGCTGTCATTGCACATGCAGAGGAGGACCTACAAATGGCCTTTAACAATGTTTCTCTCAAGCATACCAGTGCCTGGGACTGACCCTTAACATCGGAAAAACAAAGATGCTTCACCAGTCCACTCCGGGGCAATCAACTCCCCCAGCAAAGTTCCTTGTGGACGGACAGGAGATGGAAAATGTTGAACATTTTGTATACCTGAGCATCCATCTTCCAAAGAGAGCCAGCATCAAGGAAATCCAGTATAGCCTTTGGAAGACTGTATCATTGTGTGTTCAACGATCATAACATCAGTACTTGAACAAAGCTCCTATTATATAAGGATGTGGTAATCCCATCTCTTCTCTATAGCTGTGAAACTTGGGTGACCTACAGGGACCACCTGAAAAACCTGGAATGTCATCACCAGCCCTACCTCCGAAAGATCCTTGGCATAAAGTGGGAGGATCATCACACATGCCAGTTGTCCTCACCGATGCTAACAGCACCAGTATGGAAGCATTGATTTTTTTTTCAGCATCAACTGTGATAGACGGGGCACTGTGCTCATGCCTGATGTACGTTTACCAAAACAACTGCTATACTCCCAACTCGGCCAAGGACAAAGGATACACATAGGCCAGAGGAAAAGCTTCAAGGACAGTCTCAAGGCAAACATTAATAACTGTTGTGGCATTGACACCACAAATTGGGAAAAACATAGCCCTAGGCAGGGCTACATGATGAAACTTTGTGAAAGAAGGCTTTTCTTACTTTGAGGAAAACATCTCATCCTGGTGGCAGAAAAATTACAGAAACGGAAGGAAAACAAACAAGACCAAGAAATCTGTGGTCTGACTCTCCCTTTAACCACCACCTGTAGCATTTGCCAGAGAATCTGCAGCTCTAGGATTGGCCGCCTTAGCCATCAGCAAACACATTTACAACCCTTTACTTCACCCGTGGGAATGATCATCTTCAAGGGACCATGAGGGATCACTGCCGCTGACAGCCCCAGCCAGCCTGTCACTGTCTATATGTGCTTTTCATCGCACTTAATTACTCCACTATCGGGTAGTACTGTCCCCGTAGTACTGTCCCCGACAGTACTATTTTACAGCAGAGTTGGCATGCTGTGCCGTAATACCAGCACACATGTAGACTGTGACACTTTACTGTGGAGCTAATCGGTCAACTCCCCAGTAAAAACACCCATGTAGGTGCACCCTGTATGAACTAAATGGACTTGCAGGCTGCATTGATTAGAAACCAAGAGACTAGTTCAGCGTTGAGTTAGTGGCATAGCAGTATGCCTGAAGCTTTCCTTTCTCTATTCTGTTGATATTGATTACTTTGTACAAGAACTTTTTTCTTGACTCTTACTTTCATATGCATGAAGTATGCTTAGGAGGGTTTATAAAGCTACTATTATATTTAAATTGACCTTTCAAAACTTAGTGTGGATGATGTACTATTTTGTTTTGCGGGGGATGGAGTTAAAAGCGTAGAGATACCTGAAACCTTCTAAAAGAATTGGTAGCACTCTAGTGCCAAATGCATACACAAAATAGTCACGGTTTCATTTAAGTGCACATTCCAAGAATTATTTTTTTTTTCTTTTAATTTTAGGCTTTTACTTTTGTGGAGCTATTCTATGGAGTATGGACCAATAGCCTTGGACTGATCTCAGATGGCTTTCATATGCTTTTTGATTGTTCTGCTTTAGTGATGGGGCTTTTTGCGGCTCTGATGAGTAGATGGAAAGCAACCCGTATATTTTCTTATGGGTATGTACAGTCTTTATAGATTATTTTGAAGGGATGCTAGATACTGATTGTAGGTCCTCAGGTTTAAGGCAAAATCTTGGGGTATGTTTCTAATCCAGAATGTTTTCCTGGCACTTATTTCAACGTTCTGTTATTTCTTCTTCTTTTCCCCCTCCCAAAAATGAGCCCATTGTGCTAATACTGATCAGTCAGATTTATCCATAAAAATGACAGATACAAGATAAATGTGAAAAACGCAATTATGTCAACATGACTGTCATGGGGGAGACTGGGAATTTTTCGTGTTTGTGTATAATGTACATTAAAATCATCAACACTGGGCACCGTCTACACATGCATTTGATCTGATCAGTTTACTTGCAAGTAAACTACTTGCGAGTAAACACTCCCTGGCAGGTGTCTACACATGCAGGGACATACATGGCAGCAGATTTGCTGCTCTTAGCACCAAACTGATGCTACTTCTTGCAGACCTACAATTAGCCCCTGATGCCACCAGAGGGAGCCCAAGGCTCTGGCTGCAGGCTCTTGAAAAGGCAGCCCTGCTCTCTGTTCCCTGGCCAGCAGCAATATGCAAAAGCGCAGGAGCAGCATGCGGCAGCTCTCTCCTCACTGCCTCTGCCTCCCCATGCTATGGCTGCTTCAGCCCCTGCCTTTGGCAAGAATGGCCAGCACCCCAGACTCCTGCTGGCCACCATGTTGGCCTTGCTGGCCCGCTGTGCTGACTGCCGGCTGGCCCATGGCCTTCTAGGCCTGTCTGGCTCCCCGACACACGGTGACCACATGCCCAGCCACAGCACACCATCCCAGGGCTGCCACCGCCGCGCAGCTGCCACCTGGACCCCATCCAGCTGGCTGGACCCAGGCAGGGATGCCAACGACAGGCTGGAGGATGCCGCCGCCAGGGCCACCCTTGCTCTCCCAGGTCTCCAGCCCTGCTGCCTCTGGGCCTGCTGGGGCAGCAAGGACTGGTGGCTGCACATCAACCAGCAGACCTGGAATGTTGAACAGTGGCTGGAGAAATTCCAGATCATCTGGGCAACCTTCCAGGACCTCCTGGAAGAGTTCTTGCCACACCTGAAGAGGCAGGATACTACCATGCAGCTGCCCCTCTCGGTGGACAGCCAGCTGGCCCTCACCCTGCTCAAGCTGACCATGCCCACCCGCCTCCATTATATGGGCCATCTCTTTGGGGTATGCAAGGTCACTGCCAGGATGGCCTCCAGGACATGCTGGGGCACATGGTGCTCCATGTGCATGACCCCCTGACAGTAGTGGTGTTCTGTGCCCTGTTTCCCCCGGTGCATCAGGGCCCTGGATGAGACCCACATCCCCATCACCTGCTCTCCCCATGGCAACCAGCCTTACTATAGCCAGCCAGGCTTTCACTCCAGTGCTGCAGGCCATTGTGGACCACTGCTGTGCCTTTGCGCATGTGAGTGCCAACAGGGCAGGCAGTGCCCATGATGCCCGTGTGTTTCGGAACTCTGCCCTGCCAGGCCTGGTGGAGAGTGGGCAATTTGCACTGAGGGGTGCCGGAGCTGCAGATGGGTGCCATGGTAGTCCCGCCCCTCCTCTTCAGGGACCTTGCCTACCCACTCCTGGCTCATGTGGCCCTATATCTGCCAGCTGGACCCCTACCAGACCCACTTTAATCAGTGCCTGGGCTAGACCCGCACCCTGGTGGAGTGTGCTGTTGGTCATCTCGGGATGCTCAAGGGATCAACTCAAGGGATGCACACCCTCACTGCCTGCCTCAATTTCGCCAAGGACAACATCCCCTGATCATCATTGCAGCCTGTATGCTGCAAAACATTCTGCTCCCAGTTGGCATTTCCACTTCCATTACTCTGCGGTAACTAATCACGATTAAATTTGCTACCTGCGAATGCTTGTAGACATGCGCTTATGGCACAGTTAAGCATCTTGTAGATGCTCCCACTGACAAACAAATTTTAGCTCCCTCTGAAGTCAGTGGAAGTTTGTGGCTAAATTGCCTATATCTGGGTGTCAGATGAATTGGTTGTCCATATAACTTGCCAACAACCAGAAGGTTAGAGCTGTCACTGTTCACCTTTTACCCCCATTGCCAGCTGCTGTCAGTTTTCAGCAGCAGTCAAAAACAACACATTTGGGGATATATGTGCAGCAGTGGTAATAACCCTTCCTGGGTGCTTACAGGGAATATGGCCTGCCAACTGATTTGAGTTCCTAAGAACTCCACGCCTAGATTCTGATTCTGGTCACACGCAGGTCCCAGGACAGAACTGTCTGTCTTGCACCTCCCTGTGGTGAGAAGCCCCACAGGCCAGTCAGCCCACTGGCTGTTATGATTGACACCCCTAGCCCAGGCAGTTTAGATCAGGGGTTGGCACCCTGTGGCTTCTGGGCTGGATCTGGCCCACAGAGCCATGGTATCCAGCCTGCAGATGTGGAACTTAGGCAGCAGGAGCTTCTCCTGTGCTATAGTGGGTGGGAAGTAGTAGTAGTGGGTGGGTCCTAGCACCTGCCTGCCTCCCACCTAAGTTGGGTCATTCCAGTCTGCAGCCTGAAAAGGTTGCAATTGGCTGGTTTAGAGAATATGAATTATAGTGCATACAATTACTTTTTAAAGTATATATTATCACTAAATGTTAATCTCATCCTGAAAATAGTCAACCCTTGGTCACCTTTTGTTCTTTCTTATCTACCTACCATCTCTTTATTTTGACTTTGGGCGCATCTATATGAGACGTTTACTGCAGAGTTGCCTAATTAGCTCTGCAGTAAAGTCTCAGCATCTACATATGTGGCCCTATTAGGTTGCAGTAAACTAATAAATGCCACTGTAGGATAGTACTTGTCAGCACGAGTATAACCCTGTGGTGGTGTTATTTGCTCTACCGCAATGCACATATAGACACTGGGGTTGGCTGGAGCATGAGGGTGCTTCAGTGTGGGGGCTGCCTGCTGGCTCACCATGCACTGAAGCTCCCTTGTGCTCTGGCCAGCTCCTCTACAGCATGGTGAACTGGGTCGGAGCAGCCCCAGGCTGGCAGGCCTACCTCCTGGGCCCCCTGCCAGCCGGGGCTGCTCTGACCCAGCTCAACATTCTGCAGTCCCAGGTGCACATGTAAACGTAGCACCCAGGAGCAGTAGACTCCAGTGCAAATTGCACCAGAGTTTATTCAGTTGAATTAATTTCACATGGAGACACATGCCCACTGTAAACTACTACTGAGCAACCTGCTACAATAGGAAAGTGCCTAACGCAACTGCTACCAGAAACTAATTACAGGACAGATAAGGAAATAACTGTATGACACTGCGCACAATCAAACTGTTCTTAAAATATTTCATGCATGAAGGACTAAATAGATTAAAACACTTTCAGATCTCTTTTAAAATTAGTTGTTCAGTTTAAAATGTACACTTGTTCACTTTCAGGTATGGCCGGGTAGAAATTATCTCTGGATTTATTAATGGCCTTTTTCTAATGGTAATAGCTTTCTTCGTGTTCATGGAGTCAGTGACCAGGCTGTTAGATCCTCCAGACATAGATACAAACATGTTAACTGTAAGTCTTGCATTTCATTCTTTTTTAAAAAAAAATACTACTGTTAAATATTATTTCAACTAAAATGAAGATTAATTGAAGTAAATAATAGAAACTAGAGTTACGTAACATCAAGGTTTTGTTTTTATTGACTTCAAAATGTTTCTTTGCTTTCTGGGATACAACAGAATTAAAAGGTCAAGTCCTATCTAGTCTAAAGATAAAAATGTAATTTTGCCTTCTGTGCATTTTACATCTTAAATTCTGTTTTTAGTAAATTACTTTGGGCACGGTCTGAACGCATGAGTAAACTTTGAGTTTTAAAGGGACTTGTCACAGAGCAGCTGATCTGTAGTAACTGTCAGTTTTCCACCTCTAAGCCTACAATAAGCAAAGCAAAACTTGGCAACTTCACTTCACATGCTTCAGAGTAGGAGCAGGCAGGTAGACAGTTACTAACTGCTGACTGCCAAAATGTAAATTGGGTCTTAAAGGGTGTAGGTTGTAGCTGTGTTGGTCTAAGGACATAGGAAGACAAGGTTCTTTAGGTAAATCCGATAACTTTTATTAGACCAACTCAGCCAGTCAGTTAAAATGTAAACTGGGTTGGTCAATAGGTGAGACAGGTGGATGGTGGGGGGAAGGGGAATTAATGTAGCTGTAGTCAAAGGATGAGGGGTGGAGGGGTAGGGCATAAATATAGCTGATAAGAAGTGGATGGTTTACCTGGTCTTACGTCAGGTCTTAAATGTTTTGAGATGTAGTGTTAATATGAAATGAGATGGGGTACAGGTGCACCTTTGAGGCCCCTAACAGATGTTTTTTCCATGAAGCAACAGGTCATATACACACATTCACAGGGCAAGTTACTGGGTGGGGGTGGGGGGGTGACAAGCACCTTGAGAACTTGCTCCACCAGTGCTCACCAGCACGGGGAGCTGAAGAGCTGTTGGCAGGAACCATAATGTATGCTTTCAGCTGTGCTGGGAATGAGAAATCAGCTGGGTTCACCTTGGGTGAAGGAGTTGTTCCCCTCACACCTGTGCACATTCCTGAGACCAGTTAGAACTTGTTGGAGGGGGCGGGGGCTTGAACTGTCCAGGGTCCTTATGAAATACATTTATGTATGTACATGTCCTGCCTGTGGGTTTCGGAATAAATGCTTTCCCCCATCTCTTTCCAGCGTTAGGTCGCTTGAGTGTTCCTTTATTCTCTGGCTATCACAGAGAGGTGCTAAATAGCTTCTTAAAGAAGCACCTTAAAGACTGGTTGGAGAAAGGGAGGAGGGTTGGTGAGTTATGACATCTGCTGCTGTGCCCTTAGGCAGCAGAGTCAAGCATGGGTCACAGAGTTCTCTTGCAGGAAGTGGGGGAGGGAAAAGAGCAGTCCAGCATCCTAGGATGCTGGAGGACCTGCCCAAGCACTATCACCTTATGTAATATGCCACATATTCAAATTTAAAGCAAGATACAAATGAGCTGCAAAGATTCTGCATTTTACAAGTAGCATCTTTCAGGCTGGGCTGCTATTTTTGAAGCTAATTATCAAATTGCATATAACAATTAAACACATGATTAATAAATTTAAAGATGTATGGTGCACCTCTACCCTGCCTTTTACCATAAATGTTTTGAATAGAGAAACATTCAGTGGTATCTTTAATATTCAGTTGAAAAATGTCATGCAATTGTGAATACAACTTGTTTTTAATTTAACGTACATTTTAGAATGATTTTGGCAACTGTATGTATGCATGTCATTGCCATTGTGTTGATATGCAATTTTAGGTTCTAGTCTCTTTCTCCCTAGTCCACTATAACACGAGGTGTTTCAAGAGATCAGGTAGAAGTCTGGGTAGAAAAGCACTTTATAGACTGAGGGTCAGCAACATAAAGCCTGCAGAGCTCCTGACCTGGCCTGTGGAGCTGGCAGGCTTTGCCTCTGCCCACATCTGTGCTGGGGCTGGACATTTGGAAGCTGGGCCTGCATCACTGGCAGCACTTCCCTCCCCAAGTCCCTGGCTACAATGTGGACACAGCTTCTAGCTAGTGGAATGTAAGCAGTATAAAAGATAAACACTGCTGGATTAAGGTTTATCTTAAAAACATCATTGCGTCTTACTGCTTTCTTCACAAGATCAGCTCTTGTGTTTGTGAGCTCCAAAAGAGACCTTTCTAATGCTCTTACCTCTGCTAGGAGGTGGATGGGTACAGTTCTGCTGTCTGCTTCCTAGCTATTTTTTTCTCTCCTTGGTTTCCCAGTCTCTTCATTCAATAGCAGAGAGAGATCTGTATTCCAGTCTGCTAAGCACCTCTTACACCTAATTGGAGAAAAAAGACCCTATCTCAAAGTAT